TTAACAGATTATTAGGAATCAGTGCAAAGTTATAATTAACAGTTTTTAAAGTATTATATTTGGAAATATTCACAAAAGATTTGATCAACTTAGTTTTACAACAAGTTGTTTATAACAAAGCACCTACTACCAGTAGTACTTTTTAATAATAAAGTTAAATATACATTTTATTTAAGTAATTATTCTCCAAAAATTCCTGGTAAGTGTTTTTGTCCAAATGGACTTTTTCAAGTACTTGGGGTCGACTGCCCAAGAAAATGGGGAGTGTGGTAAATAGGTGGAAAAGAGAGTCCAGGCAGGATGGAGTGGATGGAGAAAAAGTTTCAGGAGTGATTTGCAAGAAGAGTGTCAGCAAAGGTCAAAGGAAAAGTTTACAAGACCGTGTGAGATCAGCTATGTTGTCTGGAGACAGAGACATGGACAAAAAGACAGGAGACAGAACTGGAAGGGGCAGAAATGAAGATGTTGAGGTTCTCCTTAGGAGTGACAAGGATGGATGATTAGGAATGAGATCATCAGAGGTACAGCACAGGATGAACTGGGAGATAAAGTTAGGGAGACCAGACTGAGATGGTTTGGACATGTCCAGAGGAGGGACAGTGGTATGTTGATAGAAGGATGTTAGAAATGCAGCTGCCAGGAAGAAGACAAAGCAGAGACATATGGATGCAGTTAGCGAGGGCATGGAGGTAGATGGAGGAGGATGACTCCCTGAAGAGGGAACAGCCAAAAGACAAAGTCAAGCTGGGCTTTACTTCTTCCCTGATTGAGAAATATTAATCATTCAGCATTTAAGTGTAATTTAAATGTAGATAATTCACAGAGGCGATAATGTGACTTACTAGAAATAATCTAACTTCCTTGTCTGGTTGAAACACACATTGTTTTTTTTTCATAATCACTTGTCTTTAATGGCAGCTGCTGAAAGCAACAAACATCCTGAAGCTTATCCATTAGGTAAAGAACATGTTCAGTTTACACAATTCAGTACAAAGACAACGCATAAGGAATCAGATTAGTTATACATAGTTGACAGATTTTCATTAACATTTTATTTGTTTTTAACTTTCTCACTTTTTTCCAGTCATGTTTAGCTCTAAGTCATTATGAGCCGACTGCCGAGCACAGTTCAGGCACTGAAACAAAAATGCGGGGGTATAAATGTTGTGGTTACCTCTTTTCATGAAGCCAAAATAAGAAGCATGATTGAGAAATACCAAGTGTTTTGGCCAAACCCAGTTTAGTTCATGCCACTGAGGCAGTGAGCTATGAAATTTAGGAAGAAAACCATTAACTAATTCAACAATCACTGACTGCATGAAATCACGCCTACAGAAAAGGGAAGCTATAGTAATAATTAAATGATGTTTGACAGGAAAAACCTTGACACGAACATGGAGAGCATCTGCGGCAGCGCTGTGGAAGATGAACATGACCTTTAGCCCACAGTTCCTGCAGACGTGCAGCTGTGTTTGTGCACAGCATGTAAACATGGACCCTCATCAAACCAGAATGAAGAACAGTGACAAAAGTCTGCAACCAGGTTCATCGTTTGCTCTGCAAAGAGGGAAGTGGATAATGCTACTGCCACATGGTATTGAACAAACTGTTTCCCACTTTCTACTAAATACATAGCAGATGTGGTAGTTTGGGCTCATGGTATGATGCACTTCATGGCATGTCGGACAGCTTAATCAATGATAGTTGTCTCTTTCAGCTGTTAGTTCCTTGCTTTAAAGAAGGTGAGAGAGCACAAATAAGTTGATGTGGGTCACTTTGTAAAATAAGACTCCTTTCTCAAAGCATCTTTATGCTCACATCGCCATTGATTGAACTTGGAAAAAAACACTTATAACCATGTTCTTTGAGACATTCTGTACAGGGAACAAGAAATTGGCATATGGTCAAATTTGTTTCTGGTGTGGGTTGAACTCTGCCAGGGCATTCCCTTTCCTTCAGTCCTGTTTGGGGTGTTGAGGGACAGGATCTCAGAGCAAAGCCATAGAGGCAGGACCGGGTTTGGGAGCCTCGGGGACTCGTCTCTGTTTTGTGCAGATGATGTGGTTCTGGTGGTGTCTTTAGGACCTGATCTTCAAAATACTCTGTGGTGATTTGCAGCTGGGATGAGAGTCAGCATCTTCTACGTCCAAGTTCATGGTTCTCATCTAAAAAAAAAAAGTTCAGGGATGACTCTTTGTCTCAAACATTGGAAGCATCTGGAAGTCTTGTTCTGGACTGATGGTGGGATGAAGAGGGAGATGGGTTGACAGATTGTGGTCTCGTCCGCAGTAATGAGTCGTTGCTCGGGTAAAGAAAAAGCTGAAAGTCAAAGTTGGAAATCTTACTGGTCTGTACATTCCGACCCATACCTACATTCATGTGTAAATCATGAAAAAAAAAGTTTCTCTTTGGGGTGGCCAGCCTCAGCATGAGGAGTTCTTTCATCCAACTAGGGATCTCAGACACTGGTCCACCACAACAAACTGACTCAGCTGAGATGGCTCAGACATCTGATTAGGATGTCTCCTGCATGCCTCCCTTTGAATGTTTTTCAGGCATGTTCTGTCTGGCAGCAGTCCTCGGGCAGAGTCAGAACTCCCTGGAGGGATTATGTATCCTCCGTGGCCTGAGAATATCTCAAGATTCTCCTGAGGAGCTGGAGATTATCACTGGGTCTCTCATGGACCTGTTGCCTTTCTGACCCGATTACGAATAAGCACCAACGATGGATGGATGGATGGATGGATGGATGGATGGATGGATGGATGGAT